ATTAAATAATAATTATTTTATTTTATTAATAAAGTGCTTTCATGATTCCTCACTTCTTCATGACCAGGAACAGTGTGCGATTGCTGCCCAAACCCAGTGGATTGAGTCGGGCAGGCAGGACATCGGGGTACTCCTCCTGAGCTCCAGGCAGCAGCGGGACCTCAGCAGTGAAGGCCCGGTACACTGTGATCACGTTGGGATGAGCAGTCAGTCTTTTAGGCACCGTTCCAAAGTGGCTGTAAAAATAGTAAAGCCATTGGCAATGATTCAGTCTATTTTAAGGCCATGATGTACAGCTAAAGTCTACAAATGAACTCACCCATCCAAAGCAATCTCTCCTTGCTCTTTTGTTAGGGCCTGTGGACATGCAGGAACCAACTCCATGGACATAGAGCGAAGGATGGCGTCACTTGATGAACCAGCCTATTGAACAGTATCAAATGTTCATTAAAAAAAGCTGTTGATGTATTCTGGAATACTGTATCGTATATGCATTCTACACAAAATCCAAAAGAATTCCTTTATTCCTTAATGCTAAAATGGTCTAAATTCTCACCCCAATGTTCCACATCATTTTTATAGCTAAAGGAAAGCTGGGTGTAGCAGGAAATCCTGCTTTCTTATTGTCATCATCGGTTTCTTTCTGGTTCAGTTCCACCAGTGAATACTTCCCGCTCTCCACAGGGGCCCCGAACGGAGCCGCTGCCTCATGCACTGTTGCATTGCAACCTTTCCCGATCTGTTTCCCAATCACATAGTCCTCCAACTTGTACCCTGATGTAAAAGGCTTCAAAGGGGTCTGGAACGTCTTCTTTCTGAATACAGCCTACATTGAAAAAACATTGTTTTTTTATAATACACATGTAATTGCAGCTGACAATTTTTCATGAGTTTATTTAAATAACTATTAATGGAGACATTGTATTCCTAAGTAATAGCATGCACTTACTGACAAATTATAAATGCATTATGGATACATCTGATAAACTGTAATTTGCACATATTTATAATACCCTCTGCATATCATTTGCATATGGGCTTGTCCAAAATTGACTAGGTCTAATGAAATTTAGAAGTAATTAGTAATCTGATGCAATAGATAATGCCAAACAATGACATGTAAAAACATGAAATGATTACTATGGTACTGTTCAGTAATCAGACTACGTTAACTAATAACCTGTTCCTTTCTTAATTATGTTTCAATGACATTTATGTGAACATAATATTGTAATATTACATGTAATGTGTATTATATATAACAAGTAAAGAATGCAACATTTAAATATTATATTAATATAACAAATTTAATATTAAAAGTTAAATTATAATAATATTTGTATTACGGGTCAAAGTTTGGATTAATTACGTTTTTTAATGTTTTTGAAATAAGTCTCTTATGCTCACAAAGGCTGCATTTTTTAAAAATGAAAAATACAGTAAAAACAGTAATATTGTCAGATATTATTGTAATAAATGTTTTGTATTTTAATGTTACAAAAGGTAACCTATTCCTTGATGGCAAAGTCATTTATATTTAAATTACTTTTACACTTAAGCACTTGGCAGACGATTACCAATGCGAATACATTCTTTCATGCATTATTTGGTAATCAACTACGACCATGCTCTACCATTTAAGTTACAGGAATGCTCAATTATTATTATGCTATATCATTATTATTAGATATACAACTATAGTCATTGTTGTGTTCTTATGTGATGGTGTTTTTCACCTGTATCTCCTGACACAGAGCAGCGCTTGTCCTGTCCTCCTCCAGCTGCTGTTCAATCAGCCCCAAACCCACACCAAAAGCCAGGAAAACAGCCCTGTTTCTGGGTGCACCACCTCCAACCACTCTCCTGAAAGCCCCGGACTGGAGCTGGGCGGCCAGCCCGCTGAGAGACAGGCGGAAGAAGCGGTACCGACCGGGCAGGAAGGTCTGCGGCTGGACGGTGCGGGTCGGCCGGGACACACGCAGCCGCTCACCGCGGAACTTCGCAGCCACACGGCCGGCTGGTTTGAAGAGCCCCAGCTGGATAAGCGACCTCCCCAGCTCCAACCCCCGACTGAGAGCACGCTTCACTGACATTTTGAGCCGAATGAAGAACTAAATTTCACTTTGAGTTTGCAGAAAACCCAACTTCTCCCTACATTAAGGGCAGTGTTTATGTAACGCTGATTGGTCCGTGAGACGTCACTTTTTGTTTACAGCTTTCAAAATAAAAGTCACAGGAAACGTATTTCACAATAAAGGTAAAGATCGCACATCTTTTAAGATAAAAGTATCAATAAAACGTTCAAAGCGGTGAGTCAATTATAAGCACACAACAGTTCAGAATATGTTTTTTTTTTATTCGTTTACATTTATACACATATTTTTTAAATTGGGAAATAATACAACTATACATCCATTCAATACATTTTAAATCTGTATATCCTGCACATCTGGTTTGTAACATGGCTTATAGCTTCATTTTTATTACAGTTTTGAATTGCCAACAGTGTTTTCTCCTGTCCTCGGGTCTTCAGGACCAAATGAACACGGCAGGAGCTCCTCCACTGTCATCAGTTTGTAAGATCCATCAGATTTTGACAGATAAACGTCCCACTGTGAGCCAAACTGCAAGACAGTTGACATAAACAGTCCGTTAAATGACAGTAGCAGTGGAAGCTGAAACATTATTTGTCCATTACTCACTCACATTCGTTTGTAATTGTTCTTTGTTATAAGCAACCCAGGGCCACACCCAAATTTACAGGCATTTCTAGTTTGTCATTTTGGTTCTGACTTGTTTTGACATATCACATTTAAATTGCACATTTGTGTCTTCATAAATAGTAATAATAAAACAATAATAATGATCAGTTTGCATAATTTTATTTTTTGAAGAACTGACCTCTCTCATGAACTGCCTGCAGGCTCCACATGGAGAAATAAAGCGGTCTTCAAGGTCACTGCACAAAAGACAGTTTATACCAGGAATATTACAACAATACTTACTTACACTTTAGTCAATACATACATATAGCTTGTCATGTCATGCATTCGTTTGTTATTTTTTATCACCATCTTGTGGCAGTTTGGTGTAACAACAAAGAACATTAATAATTGTTAGCTATTTTCTTAGTGGTTGATTTAGACCATGTGACTCTTGGGTTAGAGGTTAACCAGGAAATAATCGCAGTGTTCCAGATTTTCTCCATGCGGTTGTCCAAGAAGTTCTTTACTCTATTTCCTTTGCGTTTTGTGCCTTGGAAAGGCTTTGCCTGTAAGTCTATTACTTTTCTTCAGTGTTTGTAAGAATGTATATACACGTATACATGTGAAATTCATAAGTTAGAGTTTAAAACTATTACTCTTCAGTGATAACAATATTAAGCAGAGCATGAATGTAGCCCTTTGTTATGTTTGTTCAGATGAC